TGGTCTCTGTCTCTATCTGTCTTGTTTTTTGTTGTCTCTGTTTTCTGTTTATCTGTTGTCTGTCTCTGTCTCTGTTTGTTTACTGTCTGTCTGTCTTTTTAATATCTGTCTGCCTGTCTATTGACTTGTCTTTGTGTGTCAAGACAGTTTTGTCTGTCTGTCTGTCTGTCTTGTCTCTCTGTCTCTCTGTCTCTCTCTTCTCTCTCTCTCTCTCTCTCTCTCTTCTCTCTCTCTCTCTCTTCTCTCTCTCTCTCTCTCTCTCTCTCTCTCTCTCTCTCTCTCTCTCTCTCTCTCTCTCTCTCTCTCTCTCTCTCTCTCCTCTCTCTCTCTCTCTCTCTCTCTCTCTCTCTCTCTCTCTCTCTCTCTCTCTCTCTCTCTCTCTCTCTCTCTCTCTCTCTCTCTCTCTCTCTCTCTCTCTCTCTCTCTCTCTCTCTCTCTCTCTCTCTCTCTCTCTCTCTCTCTCTCTCCCTCTCTCCCTCTCTCCCTCTCTCCTCTCTCCCTCTCTCTCCCTCTCTCTTCCCTCTCCTCTCCCTCCTCCTCTCCCTCTCCCTCTCCCTCTCCCTTCCCTCTCCCTCTCCCCCTCCCTCTCCCTCTCCCTCTCTCTCTCTCTCTCTCTCCTCTCTCTCTCTCTCTCTCTCTCTCTCTCTCTCTCTCTCTCTCTCTCCTCTCTCTCATCTACTCTCCCTCTCTCTCTCCTCTCTCCTCCTCTCTCTCCTCTCTCTCTCTCTCCTTCCTCTCCCCCTCTCCTCTCCCTCTCCCTCTCCCTCTCCCTCTCCTCTCTCCCTCTCCCTCTCCCTCTCCCTCCCCTCTCCCTCTCCCTCTCCCTCTCTCTCTCTCTCTCTCCTTCTCTCTCTCTCTCTCTCTCTCTCCTCTCTCTCTCTCTCTCCTCTCTCTCTCCTCCCTCTCCCTCTCCCTCTCTCCCTCCCTCCCTCCCTCCCTCCCTCCCTCCCTCCCTCCCTCCCTCCCTCCCTCTCTCCTCCCACTCCCTCTCTCCCTCTCCCTCACCCTCTCCCCCCCTCTTTTGATATCAATGTAGCCTTTTCAATTTGTATAAGTTAGTCTTGAATTTATTATTATGAACTACTTGCACATCTATAGTCTCTGCAACAGACGTGGATAGATGAATTAATGTTTTATTTCCTTTTTTCGACCCCCTTCAGTGTTCGTGGCAACAGGAAGAGATAGTTTGTTTGGCATTTTTTGTGTGATTGTGAGAGTGTGTGGTGTTGGGGGTGGGTGGGTGGGGGTTGTTTTTGTGTGGTGTGTGGGGGAGTGGGGGGTGTGAGTGTTGTGTGTCGTTGTACCACCCCTTCCTGTGTTGTGCTGGCAGCGGTAAGTGCTGTCTAGCAATCCTGCGGACCTGCGTTCAATCCCACGCCCGCCAGTGAGTGGTATCCCCGGCCAGTCCTTGCACACAGGGGAGATTCGGCAAAATAAACAGACAGCAAGTCACAGCAAAGAATATCCTTGCAACAAATGGAAGAAAACTAAATCTTTCTTTAAATCTTTCCCTCCTCACCCCTCCCCCTCCCCTCCTCCCCCCACCCCCCAGTCCCCGGCATAACGGGCGTGGCCATGGTCCTCCTGCTGGCGGCGCTGTGCCTGACCTCCATGCGGTGCTTCCGGAGGCTCTGCTACGACGGCTTCTACTACACGCACCGCCTCGGGATCGTCTTCCTGGTGCTGCTGCTGGTCCATCCTCTCAGGTGAGGAGGAAGGTCAAGGGAATCAAGGAAGGGGAGGTCAAGGGAGGTCACGGGGATGGCTTTTTTTTTTTTTTTTTTTATTCCTTTTTTTTTTATGTTTTTCTTTCTTTCTTTTCTTTTCTTTTCTTTTCTTTTTTTGGGGGTGTTTTTTTTTTAAGATGGATGGAGTTCTTTATCAGTGTGAATTGGGTTGTGTGTTTGTTATTATCATCATCAACACTATTAGTCATAGTTATTATTTTTATTATTATTGTTTGTTATTTTATTATTATTGTTGTTATTTTTACTATTATTATTGTTGTTGTTTTTGTTGTTAGTTTTGTAGTTTTGTTTTTATCGTTAGCATTATTATTATTGTCGTTGTTATCATTATGCTATTGATATTATTACTAGTGTTCTCATTATTAGTGTTCTTGTTATTATCAATTTTATCATAATTATTACCATCATTATCATCATCACCACCACCACTATCACCATCATTATAATCACCATCATCACCACTATCATCATCACCATGATCATTATTCATCACCATCACCACCACCATCACCATCACTACCACCACCACCATCACTCCCCCCCCCACCACCACACCACCATCAGCCCCCTCCCCCCCCACACCACCATCACCACCACCACCACTACCACCATCACCACTACCACCACCACCACCTCACCCCCCCACCACCAACCCCCACCACCACCACCCACCACCAAACCACCACCACCACCAACCACCACCCACCACCACCACCACCATCAGCCCCCCTCCCCCACCCCACCATCACACCACCACACTACCACCATCACCACTACACCACCATCACCCCCACCACCACCACCACCACCCACCACCACCCCACCATACCATCACACCAACCACACCATCACCACCACCACACCACACCACCACCACCACCATCACCCCCCCCCCCACACCACCACCACCAACCCACTCACCACCACCACCACCACCACCCCCACCACCACCAACCACACACCATCACACACCACCACCATCACCCCACCCACCCCCCCCACCAACCACCACCACCACCACCACCACCACCACCCCCACCAACCACCACCACCATCACCACCACCACCACCACCACCACCACCACCATCAGCCCCTCCCCC